GTACAAAAATTACAACTCTCAGATGTCCTCGATTGCTGGCCATGCGCGTGCTGAGAATCAGGAAATCCTCGCATAACTGAAGTTAGCCATGTGCTGAGAATCAGGAAATCTTTGCAGAATTGACATTAGCCGAGTGCTGAGAATCAGGAAATCCTCGCACAATTGAAGTTGGCCGTGTGCTGAGAATCAGGAATTCCTCGCATAATCGAAGGCTTTACCACAGCTCGCTTTGTAGCTAGATGTGCTAGGGCAATGTTTGCAGCTTAGATGTTGCGCGATGTCGGGCATGTAGTTTTATTCTTTATTCTCACGATGTCGTTATTTGTGAGGTTGAAAGTAAAAAGAAGAGTATGCAGTCAATTTGGTCACAAGGTCTAAAAAGATTGTTGTTATTTGCGAGTTGTTATAACCCGGGGTTGTTATACCCAGGGTTGTTATACCCGGGGCTGTTATACCCGGGGTTGCTATACCCGGGGTTGTTATTCCCGGGGTTGTTTATACCCGGGGTTGTTATTCATGAGGCTGACTGTACATGTGTTTCAGCGATGACCAAAATTCCCATGGAAACAAGTCTGTAATCTTGTGATTGGCCGATTGAGTTGCAGTGTGTTAGCAGTGGTTCTACTGTTTGGTCACCTGATTGTTTTCTTGCCTGTTTGCTTTCTGCGGATTCAGTTCGTTTTCTTGACATGAGACGATCAACGATTGCTCGAGCGGAGGGAGAACCTGTAGCTTTAATCTGCCGCGTGGAGTCTGCTAGCGTTGATCATTATCTTGAGTTAGCCTGGTATGGCATGTCGAAGGATGGCAAACTACGCTATTTACGTAGTGGCGTAGAGTTGAAGGATAATGGAACGTGAGTGGTTTGAGATGCTGTGTTTCTCAGTAGGTACATGTGGTCAGTTCAGATTGGCCAGGGGAACATTAATGGCGACACAACTCTTCGGAAAGCTGAGGAAAATCTGGAAAGCAAGGTTTTGTCTGCACTGGTGGAATGTACATCTGGGATTTGCATCATTGCCAAGGTTATGGATGGGAAGCAGGACACACAAGGTGCACATACTAGTATACATATCTCTGGTGTTCCATAACCGATTTTCATAAACAGAGCATCTGGGGTTCGAGAAGAACCTTGACTATCATGTCGAAGTCGTCCGAAGTCTCTAGGAGATACGATGCCGCCGTGGCGAGCCTTAACGTCGTAGAAAAACTGAAAAAATGCACTCCGATCTGGTGCAAGTCCCGGTGGTGACAGTAAATTTTTCATGTTTGCAACTCCCTCAAACTAATTACTATTTCAGGGAAGCTTAACATCTTTGTGTTCCTGCATCCCAGGAACGGAATGGCCATGATTCCGTAGCAAGAATACTGTCTTGAAACAGTAGTGCAATTATGATATACCACGATTATTGGGTAGGGGTCTGCACCTTGATCCTTGAGGGTGGCAGCCTTCCTTTGGATGCCGAAATCTCGGTCTAGCCGAGTATCACGCGGACCGTGAGATATAGGGTAGGGGTGTGTGCGGACGGCAAACGGTTAAAGCATCCGTCTTCCAACCACCATACAGTTGTGGGTTTGGTTCCCAATTTGAATGGAGATTACCCCCCCCCCCACAGGAGACCAATCTGCGCCTGGATACTTTGGTTGTGGGGAGGCAAAGGCGACAGGAGAGCCGAAGGAGATGAGTGTCTCCCTCACTATGCCAAGCTCCTTGAAACAGGAGATCTCTAATACATCCTGCCTCTACGGGTCAGAACTTGCAGCAGCTACCATTACTTGTATAAAAGAGAAGAGCTAATAAGAAGATCCACAAGCCTATGCTTTGACAAGATGGTGAAGTGAAATAATTTACGCTGATGTCGAAAACAAAAGGAGTACTTGTTAACCAAACTCTGTACACATGCAGTATCAAGCAGATATTTTCACACCTTCATGAGAACTAATTTTCAAGGCACTGCAAAGCCAGCACATGTTCATGGATCTTCTTGCGTGGAGTGGTCCGAGCTGCTTGCATTTACATGTAGTTGGTAGCAAGTAATTGCGCGCCCTGAGCACTACACAATTGCGAAAAATAGGTATTTGCGGATGGTCTCTAACATAAGGCATAATGTCAAAGTTTCTGTTGCTGCAGTCAGTGGAGATGTGCATTTCGAAATTCGAAATATTTTTTAGACCACTGTAAAACAGAAAGTTTAATGACCAAAATTTTTTTAAACGTTCTTGTAATTTTGGCATGATAACGTGCAGTAAGTTTAACGATGGCTACCTGGCCGGCCACCCGGTACCCATCTGTATGCACAGACATCTCCCCATAACATTTCTTCAAATAAAGAAAAAAAATTGGTCGTTGAAACGTGACTTTGTGACTCGTTAGACTTTCCGGTTTTATAGTACTGGGCTTGAGTGTATGTGGAGTAGTCTGACTTTGGGAAAGTTGAGCGGAAAGAGGCAGTCTAGAGTTGAAAGTTATATTTGGCTTCTTGTTTGAATCGTTTAACCATCATCAGCGGCTTTCCCACAGTCAGACTCTCGACTGCCTCTTTTAGTTTCCCCGTAGTAGCCGGACAGGGAGCAGCTAGTGAAGGTTGTGAGAAATTGAAATGAATTTTGCGCATTGTAGAACAGCTCGCAAACTCACAATTCGGAACCTCAAAATTCGACTCCTGACTGTCGGGAAACATGTCAAATTCGAGAAATGGAGAACTGTCTAGCCTTGTTTCTAGCAGCCTCGCCCAAGGTGAGCAGAACCAGAGTTGGTTGTACAGGAGGTCTGTTGTTTCAACGGTCGCTGAAGCATGCATGGTAGACTGCTCTCCTCAATCGTGCTTAGGGGCAGCTGCCAGCAGAACTGCAGCAGTTACCAAACTGCAACAGCAGCGTTTTTGCATGGGGGCTGCTGGTGAAAAGTGTGCACATCCTTCTTGCTCGGCGTTTTACCATGCTGCTACTGCTGCACAACACGCACACACGCACGCATGCACAACACGCACGCACGCACACGCATGCATGCACAACACACACTTCACAGTGTGGCAGCTGTAGCCTGTACGGCAATGAACGCCATGCGGTTGGTTGTCTTGTTGTGTTTGTGGGCTACATGTATGTGCAAATGTCTGAACGACATCATTTTGGTGGCCCCTGTTGATGAATTGCTTGCTTTTTGTTGATTTTTTTCTTGTCCTATTGTTTGCCCTCATGTGAATGCGCTAGTGTTATTGAAGTCGCACTGAGGTTTAATATGACGGCAGAAAGTGCTGGGAACTACGTCTGTACCAAGTTCAGTTTTGATCCAGAAGCACGTGCCAAACACAATCTTACTATTACCGTGCAGCTTCCAGGTAGGTGACACTCTATGCCGGTCTAGAGAAGGATGGAAATACCTCACTTCGCTTGTTTTGAATTTCAGGATAATTTTTCGACGTCACAATAAAGAATTTTTCATCCAGCGCATGCGGCGATTGTGAATAGCAACTGAATAGAGCGGTTGTCAGTTGACAAACTCCCTTTTCTTTAGGTCTGATAGAGTAGATTAAATGTCAATTGTCAGTCGTTGACAGTTTTCCATAGTCTCATAAGGCTGCCCCCTACTTCATCTCGTATACACTACGCTTCATGGACATCCCTTGACGAGAATTGAAAAGATTTTTAAATGTTGAGTAGAGATAGCATGTTTGTGCAGCAACTTCGACTCTCATGAGAACTGATGTCAGCGACGTAGCAAACACGTACAAGTGCTTGTAGCACATTACTAGCCATTTCGAATTATCGGTGCTATTTTCTGTGCAGAAGGTATTATCCGTGCTCATGAAGCACTTTGAAATGTGACTTATCTCGTTTCTACCTTCTTCGAAATTTACAAACTCGTTTGTATGCACATTGCACAGGCGGAAATCGTTGATTGAAGATGTTCAAAATAAGCAGAGGACCTCCGAGATACACCATATTCAAATTATCAGTTGTCTACTGGAGTATCGGCCAAAATGAAGGCATCTAAAGTCCGCGAAAACGCCCCCAAATACCACAAAACCGGCCTAATGCCACAAATGTTTTCATTGCTCTGCATTCTAGAAGGGTGAAAGTTACCAGCATACCAGCATACCTATAACTATGTATCTAGCAGTTCAAACTAGCTCATCAGAGCCAACTAGAAACACCTTTCAAGTGATTCCAGGGTGCAATTGCAGCTCCAGGCGGGAGGAGGAAGTAGACGGTAAGAAATAACAGCAATGAAACCCAACCTCTCGGAGAACGGCTGAAGTTTTCCCAAAGACGTTAACTTTAAGTATCGATGGAACACCAGCATACAGCAGCTTGTTGACTTTGGGACTGTTTGAGAGTTAGAGGAAATCAATATCTCAACATTGATGAAATTACTGCCTGGCATATGCATGGGCGAGCTGGCCAGCTACTCCTGCATTGGTTTTGCATGGCTCACGAGCAGAAAACTAAGTTGCTGTGACTCAAGTGCACGCGACAGTTGTGGGTATTGGTCAGATCTTCTGAAAATTCCAGGAATTTCCAGAAAGTGACATGAAAAATTGTGGTTTGAATTTGAGAGAGTGTGGGGGACACTGTTACTCTTTAATCGCCCATTGTGCATCTGCTGTGTGACAGGGAAACCCCCAAGCTGGGAGAGTATGCCGCGCCTGTGCTGAAAGTGCGTACCGCACTGAAGAAAATTTCAGGACATCCATGTTTCGAGTTTTGGCGCTCATGTATCCTTGGTCCTATCGCAATAAACAACATATCAGCTGAAAGCTCTGCTCGCCGGCTTTCCAATGAGCTGTCATTTGCTACGATCCGATAATTCCTCGCAGAGTTATGATGATTTGTACATATACTATATTGTACATACTGATCAATGCACGTTAAAATATGTCATTGGGAAGTCGGGCCAGATTGCGCAGTATGTAAAAGGCTGAACGCATGTCATTGCGGGTGAAATGGTTAATTGATTGATTGTATTGTTGGAACATGTGCCTGGTTGTTGAACGTCTAGGTGCTCCACAATTCCCAACCAATGGCCCTATTGTAGTGAATGAAGGGGACAATGCATCCTTGCGATGCATTGTCGAAAACAATTCCACGATGAAGATACATTTGTGGGACAGCACGGGTCGTTTGGTGGCAGAGGAAGATGGATCATCGTCCTTGGAGCATGTTCTGACTAATGTCCAGCGTAACAATACTGGAGATTTTGTGTGCGGTACAAGTGGTGGCAATGCCACTCAAGGACTACGTGTGCAATGTAAGTAAACCTTGTTATCGCTTCACTGTTCATTGTGGTGTGCATATAGATGAAGTACTAAACCAGGCTGAACAAAGTTAAAATTGTGTGCTCGGGATTTATCAACCGGCTACGTTTTTGGTGTGGACGGTGCTTGTTTTCAACTGTACATCTTTGCCAGCTGCTGGTACACAATGACAACGCCATAAAGTACTGCGAGAGCACCGCGTCTTGTGAGAGCACCCCACCTTGATTTTACAGCCAGGGAAAGGAAAATCGCACGGCCGAGTGCATTGAAGTTTGTACAGCGTGAGAACCTTTAGCGCACTAAGGTCACACTTGGCATGTTTTCGTGTGGAGCTCGCATCTGCAAAATTTGGCCAAAATCACTCCTGCTGGTCATGCCCAGGGCATCCGTTTCCTTACAAGCAAAGCATAATAAAAACTGGAATTGGTGTGTGTGTGCGCGTGCGCGTGCGTGCGTGCGTGCGTGCGTGTGTGTGTGTGTGTGTGTGTGCGTGCTTGTGTGCGTGTCCCTTATGGTGCAGTGGTATGTGCTGTCGATTTCCAATCGAGAGGTTGCGGGTTCAATTCCCGACGATTATGGTCGCACACACATTCTTCTCTCTCTCATTCTCCTAGCTCTTCTTTCATTCTCCTGGGTGGTTACCAACAGCCAGTGTATGCCGGAGTATGTGGTGTGGCGTGTGTGTGTAAAAAATATATAATTATTAAAAAAATTAAAAAAATTAAAAAATTAAAAATTGGGATTCACTGGCCAGAAAAAGCCACTTCAATCAGCTGTGTGGTGGATACCAGGCTAAAATTAGTGGCGGTCAATTCATCAGCCTTGCAAGCTGTTGAATGGTGTAGTCCCAGCACAAGTTGCTATGTCTAACATAGCTGTTCGCTATCATCGCTTTCGCGATGGGCAGGTCTGAGGTCTGAGGTGTGCGTGTGTGCATGTGCGTGTGCGTGTGTGCATGTGCGTGTGCGTGTGTGTGCATGTGTGTGTGCATGTGTGTGTGTGTGTTGTTGTTGTTGTTGTTGTTGTTGTATACTTTATTTATAGTGGAAATCAAAACAGGCAAAATGCCTAATAACATTGGACCCACTGTGAATAACATGTTAAAGGATATTGTGGAAAAATAGATACAAGAGAAAAAGAGAAAGGAAAGAAAAAACGGAAGGTTGGTTGCAACGAACAGATATCAATCCAGTGAGCATTGGAAAACCTATGTCGCTGATAATATATACTGCAAGGCTTGAGATTTAAGTGTGTGTGTGTGTGTGTGTGTGTGTGTGTGTGTGTGTGTGTGTGTGTGTGTGTGTGTGTGTGTGTGTGTGTGTGTGTGTGTGTGTGCGTGTGCGAGTGCGTGCGTGCATGTGCACTTTTTTCCGGAATGCAGATAAGCCAGAAATTGCTGTATCTACCCGTATTGGAATCCTTTCACATGACTCTTACTGGCTGGATTGTATCGGAGATGGTGTTCCACAACCACGCATTCATTGGACTACTCCCTGTCAAGAAAACATATCCTCCTGGCACTTTCACCTGACCCGTACTATGTTTGAACGCGATGGCTCAGCATGCGGACCCTCCCCTGTCCCTTCAGCTCAGAGTTGGGCCCAAAATAAACTGCAATACACTTGCCATGCGACCAACTTCCTCGGTACTAGTAGCCTCGCTACTACCATCAGCTTTGCACGTGAGTCAATTTTTAAGAGAAACGTCTATGTTCTGTGGGTGCATGTGTGTGTGGGGGGGGGGGGCATATCTGAATGTACAGTGAAACCTGTCTAAGGCGATCGCTCAAGGGACGGGAAAAGTGGTCACCTTGGCCAGGTGGTCTTCTTATCCAGGCTCAGTGGGTCACTTGAACTTATTCGCTCACTGCACGTACATGCGATAATATCATTTTGATCGGTGCATCGCACACACATACACACTATGTTCACGACTCATTTGCCTGGGGCCTCAGACCTGTCAAGTGTCGTACATGCACCGTGTACACCTACACTTCCTGCGCTGATGCTCAATCTGCGGACAGAACTGTTTCTTCCTGCGCTGATGTGTAGACCTAGCATGTGTGGTGCACAGTCCAGTGGGTACATGTACATGATTGTACTGGTAGGGTGCAACGCGGTCGCGGCTGGGTGGTCGTTGGTCGCGTTGAGCGAGCGGTCGTCTTATCCGAGCTGTTTTGAATGTGAATGCGTCCGTGACAAGGAAAAGTGATTGCCATATCCGAGTGGTCACCATTACACCGGTGTTACTGTATCGGGTTTCATTCGAGATGCTGTACGTTCAATCAAGAGTACATAACCGCCAAGAGTGTGCAACTGCCTGCACACCCCCTATGTAGTGGTGCGACGGCCGAACTTCACATCACGTGCCAAGGTTCAACAGGTTATGCTCGCAAATAGTGCGAAGTGACCAGCAAAGAGTTAAACCCAAAGCAGGGTTGCGTACAACCCTGTATCTATCATGCTCAGGGTGCAGCACATGTGTATAGGTTTATCATGTGATGTGAAGTTCTGCCGTCGCAGACCCCATAGCTGAAGTTGCACACTCCTGGGTGTTGTGTACTCTTGGTTTAATTCACGACGATTATACAATGCAGAAAGGAGAAGGACATATGGATACGAGTAACTGTCCACCACTGGAACTAGGTACTATATACAGTCAGAAAGTGCAACAACTAGGCACAAAACTGACAGAACTCGTACCTTAACTGGTATCCGTATGTCCTTTTCCTTTCTACATTTATTATTGGTGCAACATCCGAGTTTCAGATAAGCGTTTCGAATATTAAGCAAACAAGTTTGTCAAGAAAACTGTATGAAGATTGCGTGGGCATGACGAATTGTTATGTGAAGGTTTCGGAACAATTGGCACAGCTGTTAAATATTTAGAGATATGGCCAGGTTTAGGCCTTTTCTATGGTTTAGAATTTCCCCAGGAAATCAGTACAGAATTCCGGCGAAAACCACGACTTGACTGTGCCTTATTTGGAGTACTACTGCAGGCCATGCGATGAGAAATTATGGTCGTTCTGATATAATGTCCTGACACTTCTTCAATTGGTCAGACATGCCCGGACATAACATTGTGCCACACATGTCTTTGAAAGTCGATGTTTTCAATCTTCTCACTCAACGATGAAGGACAGCACGGAGTTTCTTCCCTGAAAATGCGCACTCAATTTCCAACATAACGTTTCTTCTATTTTACCGCTTTTGACGACCTTGGGCTCGTTGGAAAGACCTAGATTTGAGAAATGCAATGAGCCCAAACTTGCCAAGATCACTACTCATTGTCCACCACATTGCCCTCCAAACGCGAGTCCAATTTCAGATCTGAGAAGAAATCGGTCTCCTTCACTCAGCCATTTCACACCCGCTGAATCTAGCTCGGAGCTGCTCAAGTTATTATTTTTGCGAGTGGAAGCTTATCTTGCCGTGGCTTTGCGCAATCCCGCGGTGCCAGTCCTGGCATGTGCTGCCTGTCCTCAAGCTGGGAAAATCCCTTTTTTTCATGCACTGCTGAACTCAAACTTCATCAGAGAGACTTCAGACCTGTTCGAGACGATAGCGGAGAATTTTCTCTACCACTTGTAGACCCTTTGATTGTTGAATTTGATCAAGATTTGGCCGGGTAACGAAAGTTTGCCTGCGCCCACTTGCATTGAAATGTCTATGGAGTATTTTTTTCGTCTAGGATCGATCAGACACTTTGTCAGTCGCACGGATATTTCGTCCGGACAACGACCAAAAATGGTCGGAAAATGTCCGATGTCCGACCGTTATTTCATGCGCTGCTACTGCACCATGACTCTGCAGAGCTGGATCATCAGACGTATGGGTGTAATTCCTGAGCTTTCCACGCCGCGTTTGTGAGTCATACACTGGCAGTCAAGGGGGCCGAGTCCCTGGCGGGGGGGGGGGGGGGGGGGGCAGGGGCAGAGGCCCAGCAAAAAATCTTTAGCGTATCTTCAAATTCCAAGCTCCTGCGAGGCCCAATCTGGGACTTCACGTTCCTACACTACTACAATGTGCTGTGGTTGTTTGTTTGGCTTTATTTTTACTTCACCAGAAGCACAAGCAAAATCTGCCTTCTCATTGGGCATATTGCTACGATTCTTGCAAAATGATGAAGATAGTGATATAAGAAAAGGAGGAAGAGGAAAATACAATCATGAACAAGCCACAAAGAGAAGACGGAAACAAATCAATGAGGGAGTACTACAAGTAATGAATGTGGTTCAGTCACTTCTAAGAATTTTGTATTAACATGGAAGAGAACTTTTGCATTGACCGTAGTTGTGCAGCTAGTTGGTACGGAAAAACCACTCGTGAGCATAGTGTCACACCTCACTCAAGTGCATGCTTGCAGCATGCACCGCACTGTCGCATTGTGCTTCTGCTGACTGCATATGCACGCACTCAGGAGAGTTTTGCTGCAGTTTTCAAAGGTTTCGGTGTCTGCACTGCAGCCCAAGGGGGGAGGGGGTCCGGGCAACCTGGAAACACTGCCAGCTACACGCCTGTCTTGATGTTGCTACAATACTCGCCAAAAATCAGGCCAGTGCTGCTCATGGTAGTCGACTACGATGCAGGCAGCATTGGCCGGATTTTTTGGGCAAATATTGTATCAATGGCCCCACAATTTTAACAATGGCAGACACTCTCCAATTGCCCCAGAGGGGATTTGCGTGGAAACTCCTGGGCAGCTGGTTTCTTTAATTAAATATATTGCAACTAGGAGCATTCCAGTAGCTATGGCAGGGATATTGAGTTCCTGTATGCCCCTCAAGAAGGTCACAGAGGGCAATGTCTGCGAGGGTAGAAGACAAAAGAGCCTTTAAAGAGGTATGCTTAACCCTTTGTGGACGGACTGTACGAGTTTCGATCTAATGAGATCGAAACTTGAAACGCGAATTGTTCTGGGGGCACCGCACGTTTTCGGCGATATTTTTACACAAATCGAAAGACGAAATCCATATCTTTCCAATGGTGCTAAATTCGCCAGGGGTCCCTACTCAAAATGTTGACCAAATCGGCCGCACAAGAAAAAATCGAGAGCTTGCGCAAGCATGCAGCACTGAAATTGCAGTATGAGTACTGTCATGGCACGACGCGGAAACGTCCTCCGCATGGATGTGGACGATGCCATCGGCATGATTCTGAACTGGAACTCTGACGAGGACAGTTCTGGCGACCCACTTGACGAGTCTGATGACGATGAGTTCGAAGTAGACAGTGATAGTGATGATGATATCCCAGAAATTAAAGAAAACAATTAAATTTTATCTGATAGATTTGCTGATACTGCTAGTAGCGAGAGTGGCGGTGAGGATGTTGTTAGACAGCTTAACCTATCTACTTTCCGAAAATGTATGGTGTTGTATTGGCTAATGTACACCGATTTCGAGTTATTACTGATTTTCGCATGTCGCTTCTGTCCTGTACAAATTTGCCAGCCCATAAAGGGTTAAAGTACCAGCAACCTTTATTGAACTACCAGCAAGCCTTTGTGCGTATCGCACCAATACAAATTCAAGAATTTCTCTCTTTTACTACTGTTGAGCCTGCACTTCATGCTGTTGCTTCAATCTTGTGTGTGTGCTGTCGTAGCTCGCCCAAAAGGACCAGTGTTCAACCCCGTGGACAGCAAGCAGATCAGACTCGACTCTATCACCCTTAGCTGGTCCATGGATAACAGCTCAAACATCACTTTCGTACAGTACCATGTAGAGTACAGGCCGTACAATGGTGACACCTGGAAGGTCAACAGAGTTCCCCACTCCCCTGCTGAAGTCCAAACCGCTACAGTTACCGGCCTGATGCCACAGACTGAATACTACTTCCGCGTGCGGATAGTAACTACATCTACATACTCTGAATATAGCAATGAAACTTCTGCGTCTACTCATGGTAAGATGAAGAGCCTGATAATTGTGGAAGCGGTAAACCTAAGTCGCAGTAAAGCCTTGTTGCGCCTCATTTGCATGCTAAGATGTCCGAGTTTGCATCAGGAAATGACAGAAGGAGCAAATCCTTGCCATTTTGCGGTTACCTCGTCTGATATTGATGTGAAAACATTGAATGTTTTTAATTTAATTGTATGCATCGATACCCGTATTATCTCTAATATAAGCACGGTCCTTTATTTTTTCAATGTACCTCCGCCCCGTGCTATTATTGGAGATGTTCCTTTATTGGAGACTGTTTCCATTATTATTTCAACCTCATTTCAGAGGCTTGTTGCCATGCCAAATTCATGTCAGACACACACATTTCAGGGTTTTTCGCCGGTACAAATAATGAATTTACACAGTGTTATATTGGAGACTGAGCACTTTATTTTTTGAATGCCGCCCCAAGGTGTTCTATTATTGGAGACGTGCTATTATTGGAGACTGTGCTTATATTAGAGATAATACGGTATGCCTTGTTATACTATGAAACCCATTGTAGTTAAGCAACCACAGCTACTCTCTCCCTCTCTCCCTCTCTCTCCCTCTCTCTCTCCCTCTCTCTCCCTCTCTCTCCCTCTCTCTCCCCTCTCTCTCTCTCTCTCTCTCTCTCTCTCTCTCTCTCTCTCTCTCTCTCTCTCTCTCTCTCTCTCTCTCCCTCCCTCTCTCTCTCTCTCTCTCTCTCTCTCTCTCTCTCTCTCTCTCTCTCTCTCTCTCTCTCTCTCTCTCTCTCTCTCTCTCTCTCTCTCTCTCTCTCTCTCTCTCTCTCTCTCTCCGTCTCTCTCTCTCTCTCTCTCTCTCTCTCTCTCTCTCTCTCTCTCTCTCTCTCTCTCTCTCTCTCTCTCTCTCTCTCTCTCTCTCTCTCTCTCTCTCTCTCTGTCTCTCTCTCTCGTCTCTCTCTCCGTCTCTCTCTCCGTCTCTCTCTCTCGTCTCTCTCTCCGTCTCTCTCTCTCTCTCTCTCTCTCCCTCTCTCTCTCTCTCTCTCTCTCTCTCTCTCTCTCTCTCTCTCTCTCTCTCTCTCTCTCTCTCTCTCTCTCTCTCTCTCTCTCTCTCTCTCTCTCTCTCTCTCTCCGTCTCTTCGTCTCTCCGTCTCTTCGTCTCTCCGTCTCTTCGTCTCTCCGTCTCTCCGTCTCCCTCTTCGTCTCCCTCTCCCTGTCCCGCTCCCTCTCCCTGTCCCTCTCCCTCCCCTCTCCCTCTCCCTCCCCTCTCCCTCTCCAGTGCTCCGAAGCAAGTTATTGAACACGTTGCACGATGCTCAGCCAGCTGTATTTGCGTTCCCTGCACAGTTGGGTGTGCATGACGACGTTCTCCGGCAAGCCGCTAGAAGATGATATTTCGGTTTACACTACGGTCAACTTTGCGAATAACAACATTCGGCTGGGCATCAGAAAAGTGTCCTTATTCACGAAGTGCCCTTATATCTGAAGTCCCATTTGAATGTATGTGAACCCATATTTTGTATAGTATGACATGCATATCAAAATGAAGCTCTTTTCATGCTCTACGTCAATTTGTACTTTATTTTCATATTGCAATGGAAAGGAACTATAAAGTCAATATGCACGGGAAATAAATAAGCCTTTTGGAGCCATCTACAGGGACATGTACATGTACGTACATGTATGATGTATTTCTAGGCGAGAAATGATTTCTCGCGAAATATTTTCAGTTGCAAATATGGCATCTGGTGTGTTCTTTGTTGTCGCTTCTTTTCCTGACTTCTTCAGTCAGTTTTGAGTCTCACCACTGAGTCACATCTGGCTGCGGTCAACTACCCTTCACTTTGTGTGTTGTCGCTATTGCTGTCTATGTCTCTGTGTATGCCAGTATATGTGGAGCGAGAAGATTAATGTACAATCATGTACAACTACATGTACACAACTACATGTACATGTAGTTGTGTACAGTCATGCAGTTGTGCGGATCACTCCAACTATTTTGAAGCAAAGTAAAAAGAAAGAAAAAGCACCCCCCCCCCCCCTGGCTGTATCTTCTTGTATGTGTGCCTTATCCATCGCCACGGGTTCTGGTACTTCTGCATGACAGGTACTTGAAATAGCTGTCAAAAATCCAGAAAGTCGTTATTCAAGCAGTAAATATGACCTCGGGGCACTAAAATCATGTCGCTATTCGCGAATTGTCATTATTCAGATAGTCGTTATATCCGAAGTCAAATGCATACAGGCATATGGGACTTTGCTCTGGGCATGGAAATTCTGTCGTTATTCGCGAATTGTCGTTATATCCGAAGTCGTTACTAGCGAAGTTGACTGTACTCATATTGGTCTAGCAACATTCATAAACTCTCTGGATGGACGCTTTCTTCCCGCGTGATCATGTGACCAAAGGTGGTCTACAAGTCCATGTTGATCATACTCGTGTGATATGTGTTCATACATGGAATTGTGTGTGGTGTTAGGTTATGCGTTAGGTTATGCCTTAGGTTATTCTTATTTAAAGTTATTTTACTTGACCCTAGGTAGGTGTATTGCTGCCTTCTTGCTGTGGATCGTGAATGACGCCACAGCTCCTTGGCTTTGATGTGTGAAGTCCTTGTGTGGGACATTGACAGTATGGGTGGGTTTCACATACCCTCACTGTTCAGTGTACACATGGCTGGACATCACTTGCCACCGCTGTTTTGGGAACATGCGTGTATACATGGCTGGACATCACTTCCCACCGCTGTTTTGTGAACATGCGTGTCATGATTGTGGGGTTTTCTTGCTCTCTTCTGTTGCAGATCGTCTCGATGCACCCAGGATTCATCCAGTGAAAAACGTTTCGGTAGAAGCGACCATGACGGTTATCAGTTGGGCAAGAGCTACTTACCAGAATATCACAGTCTTGTCGTACCAAGTACAGGCAAGACCCGGTGGTGCTGGCACCTGGGAGAACGTTTCGTTCACAAACTCCTCTTTTGTCTTGGGACCCGAGGATATAAACGTCATCGTCACTGGCTTAACTCCAGGAACTAACTACCGCACCCGTGTTCGAGCGCTGACTTCGATTGGCTTCAGTGAATTTAGTGAGGAGGTCGCTTTCGGGACACTGGCGAAAAATTCGACACAACGAGGTAAGACTTCTGAGAAAATTTAAATGTGACAGAAAGGACTGTACTAGTATTACGGGGGGATCTCCCCCGTAATATTTTTGAAATTAGGGTACAAAATCCTGCATTCTGGGCACTTTTGGCATTGTTTTACTATGGTGGTCGTGGTCGGGCGAAAAAGTGGTCCGGCCAAAGCCGGACCGGCCGGAGCGGCTGCTACGCCCCTGTTCCTGCCGAACTTGACACTTGACTGACTCACGACTGCCATCCGAAGCACACGAGGAGCACATCGCACCTTCCACTCGGCAAGCCTGCGAGAAAGCACCACTCCCTGCTCAAAACACAATGTTTCGGGGAATTCACCCACCCTAAGCTCAACTGATGAGGGGTGAATTCCCCGAAACACTGTGTATTAGCAGGGAGTGGTGCTTTCTTGCAGATTTACCGAGTGGAAGGTGCGGCGTGCTCTTCGCGTGCTTCGGATGGCAGTCGTGAGTCAGTCAAGTGTCAAGTTTGGCAGAAAGCGTGTGTTCCTCGTTGTAACAACCAACGTCATGACTAATACCGCCGAAGTCGCAACTTCCAAAAACACGTGAGGGAATTGCAACACAGTGTGTGTGTGTGTGTGTGTGTGTGTGTGTGTGTGTGTGTGTGTGTGTGTGTGTGTGTGTGTGTGTGTATGTGTATGTGTGTATGTGTGTATGTGTGTGGTGTGTTTATTTGTTTTTGGATGGCCAACGAGTACAACGAGGGATAGAAATCAGTCCTTCTTTAGGTCATTCGTCCATTGTTATTACCCTAAAAGCCCGCTGCAAACACCCATGTCACAATAAGCGCTCGCCCCAGCTGATCCATGCTATTTTTCGCAAGGCAGTTCGTTTCTTTTTCCTTTCCAGGTCAATCAAGCTGTAGCAAAACAATCATAAAGGTTGAAATTGCACAAGAACACCTGTACTGGCTGCATAGGTGTTGAGTTACAAAAGGAGTCCATTATGCCATACACAAAGGAACAACTTTGGACAAGTACTAGTAGTGGGAAGACATTTATTATAGACAGAGAGACGGAGAGACAGACGAACTAAACGACTACATGATGGAAGAGAGAGAGAGAGAGAGAGAGAGAGAGAGAGAGAGCGAGAGAGAGAGAGAGAGAGAGAGAGAGAGAGAGAGCGAGAGCGAGAGAGAGGGAGGGAGAGAGAGAGAGAGAGAGAGAGAGAGAGAGAGAGAGAGAGAGAGAGAGAGAGAGAGAGAGAGAGAGAGAGAGAGAGAGAATGCCAGATAAAGGGCCTGGGTAGCTATGGCAGATATGGGCACGCAAGTAGCTACCCAGACCAACGGAACAAAAGGCGAGTACGAGAGTAATTGTGGGGTGCATGCAGGCCTGCCTGGAAAAGGTTGTAGAATGTACGGGAGGAGGTACTTGACATAGGGATATGTCTTACCAGGAGGTCCTGCGTGATTGTCCCACATCAGAGATAACATTCTAGACTCTACGATGCGGATTTCAAATGTCCCCTATCTCTTTTGCATTGTGATACAGAATAGAAGTGGAAGTTTGTTTTGAAAAGAGTGGTTGCTTTTGTGTTCCTTTTCCTCCCATCCCTCCAGATCCCATTGAGATTTTGTCTGTCAAGTCAACTTGGATCGAGCTTCGTTGGCAGGTAAAGTTGTTGTTGTTATTTGAAATCTTTTATTCTCACGATGGCCTGTGGCCAATAAGAGAAAAAGAATTACAAGCACGGGAATCGGATAAAGAGATATAAAAGTTTAGCTGCTTGCTGAAATAGTAGCGATGGCAATAAAGAGTTTATCACGTAGACTGGGCACAATGGGGCTATATATGTGCTGAGCAATGTGAGCAGGTTCATACGGAAGAGACGACAAGAGGTGGGATGTTTGCTTTGAAATCTCGTTTGGGGTTGATTTGCCGGAGGCTGAGTGGGATGTTATTAAAGAGATCAAGAGAAGCATAGGGGGGGGGGGGGGGTCTCTTAGCCGGTTTGTGCTTTTTGTGGGTAGCTCAAACGTTCGGGCGAACCTGAGCGTGCGAATGGGTTGTATTCGGAGTAGGTGAATTGCAAGAAGGTGTGGTGGTACATATCTATGGTGCAGGCTATGTGCAAGAAGAATATGGAAGACGGTACGGCAGCTGCTAAGTGGTGGCCAATTGTGTTGCATTACTGCAACAGCACTAAGGGGTAAATGCCCATGCACACTCTCTCAGTCCAACACAACCATCACACTCCGGTAGGAATTACAAACTATACTTGATGAAGACAGAAGGAGAAGTGGAGAACACAGGGAACAGAGTAGGCATGTAAACAGCACAGGCACGCAACAGTTACCGCTGGTGCATGCGAGGTGCATGTGCGTACGCGAAGGTGTGAAATAGGAAGCGGGGTCAAATTACATATGGATGCACTATGCCAAATATATAGGCACAGGTAGGTGACTGTACATCTCCCCCGAAAAAAATGCGAACGGAGGGACACGAGAAAGTGTGGAGCAAAGGAGAGAGGGAAAGGAACGATAGCAGTTCTGGAGCGGGTACCAACGTGAGCATTACTCAGAATGATAGAGAGAAAAAAACAAACATGAAAAGAACACAGTCATAGTTCAACTGGAACACATGGAGTAAACAGTGTTACTGTGTTCAGGTATTGGCAGCATAGCGTTGCGGCGCATGGCAAACACGGCTGGATGGGGGTCTGCAACCGGGTCGCAGAGGCTTAGCAACTCGAGGAGACTGCGGCACAGGCAGAAGAGGCGGCAGAGTAGAGTGAGCTGGTGGTTGCAGGGCAACATGCGGTGTCGGCCTTCAGGAGAGCACGGAGCGGGGCACTGACATTGGCCATATCTGGCACAAACTTCGACAGAAACATGAACATACCCAGAGCACGGCGTAACTCGGGCACATTGGTCGGTGACTTCAGAGCTTGGATGGCAGACACCTTGGCTGGGTCTGGGCGGACACCGTCAGCACCGATGAGGTGACCCAGGAACGCCAGGGACTTCATACGGAGGCGACTCTTGGCGGGGTTGAGGAGTACGCCTGCAGAAGAGAGAGCTGCGTGGACAGCAGTGAGGGCAGCATCATGCTCAGCTAGAGTGGCACCGAACACGAGGATGTCATACATGAAGACGACCACGTTGGGAATGTGCCCAACTATTTCCAGTAGGCGACGCTGGAAAACCTCTGGCGCACTGGTGATACCAAAGGGTAGACGGTTGAAGTGAAACCGGCCAAACGGGGTCATGAAGGTAGTGAGTGACGCACTGTCGTCAGCAAGTGGCACTTGCCAGAACCCAGACGCCGTGTCAAGCGACGAGAAGACCTTGGCTCCGGACAGCATGCCCAGGGTGTCTTCGATGGTCGGCAGAGTGAAGTGTGAACGCTTCACGGACTGGTTCAGGCGTTTGAGATCCACGCAGATGCGGACGGAGCCATTCTTCTTGAGCACGGGCACCATGGGCGCACACCAGTCGGTCGGACCGGTGACTGGAGAGATGACTCCCATCTGGACCATCCGGTCAAGTTCGGTCTTGACCTTGGCTTGCAGGTGGATGGGAACTCGTCGTGCGGTCTGGCAGTGATATGGTTGGGCATTGTCTTGCAGCTCGATGGTAGCTGCAGGACCGGACATGCGACCAATGACAGGAGGAGCGGAGGAGGAGCGGATGGAGGGCTTGCGGATGCCTCGGATACATCGCAAGACAGGAGGTTCAGGTCCTGGCACACACTGCGGCTCAGGAGGTTGCTAGGGCCATCAACAACAATAACACGGAAAGTGACGTTGCGGTCCTTCCAGGAGCTGGCAGCAACAAATGCGCCGTGTATGGGTAGAGGTTGGCCATCAGGTCCAGTGACCTTAGTGGAGATCGGCGTGAGCTTAGGTTGAGGACTGAGGCTATTGTAGGAAGGCAGAGACAGGAGTGTGCAGTCTGCGCCAGAGTCCAGCTTGAACAACACTGACTGGCCATTGATGGGGAGCTCAACAAGCCAGGGTTCAGTTGAGTCAGGAATGGATACTGAACTCAAAACACAGATACTGGGTTCCTGTGACTCGGATGAAGCACTACCCATAAAACAACTCGCACTAGCACTAGCAGAATCACTCACCAGATGGTCAGACACCTCGCTCGCGCCCACTTGACGAGAGCTACGACACACTTTGGCAAAGTGACCACCACGCTGGCACTTACGGCACTCGACGGACCAAGCAGGACACTCGCGGCGCGAGTGACCACTGGATGAGCCACAGCCGGAGCAGGGAGCGAGAGGAGCAGAGGTTGCTGGAGGGCCACGTGTCGAGTAGCTAGGCGCGGACTGGCGAGATGCAGCGGGAGCATTCTTCGGTCTGCCAGTTCCACGAGATTGTTTGTGATGTCCGCGAACGACAGCGGCTGCGACGGAGGGCTGAGTGGCTGCGGAGCGCTGAGTGGCTAGCTGGATTTCGAGGGTCTCAGCTGCCTTGGCCTCCTTGAGAACATCGGCGAGGGTGAGGGAGCCTATGTCCTTTTTCTGCATCGCCTTACTCACTCCAGAATCAGCCATGTGGGCGACGAGGTGATCGCGGATCCGTTCTGACGGCTTGTCGAAACGGCATCTCGCCGCGACAGAGTGGAGTCGGCTTGAGAACGTGGCTACGGACTCACCGGGGAGCTGGCGGAGACGAGCGAACTGCGTCCGTTCGTGGCTAACATTGTCCGCAGGTGCAAAGTACTTGTCGAAAGCATCGACCACTTTATCGAAGTCGTCCTTGTCGGAATCTTGGGCGAAGGACAACTCACGCTGGAAGATATCATCCGCAGTTGGGCCCAGAGAGTAGATGAGAGTGGAGATTTGGACATCTGCGGATTCGGAAGAGAGTTTGGTAGCAATCTGGAAGCGTGTGAATCGGCTTTTCCAGCGGGGCCAATTCTCAGGTGCGGAAAAGTCGAAGCTTTCAGGGGGCTGAAATTTCGCCATGGCGAGCGGGTCCGGTGGCGAGGGTTCGGGGTACCAGTTCTGACACCAAGTGTTGCGTTACTGCAACAGCACTAAGGGGTAAATGCCCATGCACACTCTCTCAGTCCAACACAACCATCACACTCCGGTAGGAATTACAAACTATACTTGATGAAGACAGAAGGAGAAGTGGAGAACACAGGGAACAGAGTAGGCATGTAAACAGCACAGGCACGCAACAGTTACCGCTGGTGCATGCGAGGTGCATGTGCGTACGCGAAGGTGTGAAATAGGAAGCGGGGTCAAATTACATATGGATGCACTATGCCAAATATATAGGCACAGGTAGGTGACTGTACAATTTGAGCCGGTGCAGCAGCATGGAGTGGGTTCTGTGTTCAAAGAGGGGGAGATGCAAACAGAGGTGAGCGGCGCGCCGTTGGTTAACCCGATTGCTGCATGGACGATAAGTGCTGCGAATAGTGATCATGCACCCTGGCCTGAGTAGCTCACTTGGCTAATTGAAAGTCAGCCGACCTCGGCCACATTATGTTGCTAATACATGCACAATTTCCCATTTCGCTAGCAATGGTACATTGTGACGGGAAGTGGGAGTTGTGCTAGGAGCTGAGAGCGAGATATAACAGTGTATTGCCTATGATGTCATAAATATTTCCACTCAAATCCAACCGGAACTTCACAGCATGCAAAAAATAAAATCACGAAACCACATCAGCAAAGTTGCCTTTTTTAGTGAAGCGAGACTATGCATGTGATAGGAAAAGGAACTATATCCAAATGCTTACGTATGAAATAACCACCTACACTCAATGGGAGGGCGGGTGGGGCACTGTTATATCTCGCTCTCAGCTCCTAGCACAACTCCCACTTCCCGTCACAATGTACCATTGCTAGCGAAATGGGAAATTGCGCATCGGAGCTTCAAGCTTCGATATAACAGTGTATTCTTCAAAGCGGACAGAACAAACAAAGCCCACGTGGGATAAGCATACTCATGCCCAAGCATGGACAACATTGAAGTATGAACCGTCATTGACAATGACTTGTGGAGTCACGGGACAGGCCCCAGCCTAATCCCCGGAGCTGAGAACGGCTGCACTGTAAGTGGCCGCTGCCGCTGATGCCGGTGCTACGTCCCGGCGGTAGAAACGGTGGAAGGTTGACGCACGCTTCCAGTCAGCTGTATCCATGATCACGGTCGTCGACACTCCGGCTCGAGCTGCCGCAGATGCGGAGGCCCCGCGAGTTGAGTGGGCGGAGAAATCAGAAGTGCTGATTCCGGCCTGTGAAAGTACGTCCTTCAGCCAACGGGCCACGGTCGGTGAAGACACCGGCTTGTGTGGCTTCCGGAACGACACCAATAGGGATGGCGAGGCGTTGTCCGCCGTACGCCACGATGCGGAGCGCGCAATGTACGCCAACAAATGCTGCACCGGACAGAGCTCCGGTACCGGAAAAGGTGCGAAACACACTTGCTGGAGAGGCTCACCAGGACGCTGTGTCTTCCTTGGGCGCAGCAAGGACAAACGGATAGAACCATCCGATGTTTGGCAGAGGTGGTGAGATAGCATCCGCAGTTCTCCACAGCGATGAGCACCGGCCAGCGCCAGGATCATGGTCAAACGTAGAGTGAGCTGCTTATCGGAAAGCTCGGCTGCCGGCGGCCAGGAGCGCAGCATATCAAGCACAATT